ACACTTTGTGGGGCGTGTTTCCTTTGTGAACATAGTTTTTAGGAGCTGATAGATGACAGGTGACAACTGCCTTCTGAATTTTTCCACATTCATTCAGGACAAAAAGGAAGGAAGGAAGGAAGGAATGAAGGAAGGAAGGAAGGAAGGAAGGAAGGAAGGAAAAGAGGAAGAGAAAGAAAAGAAAGGAGAGATGGCTACATAAAGCTTTAAGGGGGAAAAAAAAACCAGCATCCCCCAGGTTGTCTGGGGTTGTCCCTCTGGTGTGACCTAATTCCCATCTTCCAGGACACAGGAAAAAACCTGGCCACCAGCAGAGCAAAGGGTGCTTAATTGAAAATAAATGCAATACCCCATCAAAGGCCAGAGTTGCACCTGTAGCCAGGCAAGGCGTCCACAAGAGACATGAGCTACAGAAGGACAGCTGTGTTGGGCAGTGGCTGACTTTCTGTGCTCCAGGCACACACTCTCCACTTTTAATTATGTGCTAAGTAGTATTGTCACTTACACTGCCCAGAAAGAAAGCCCAGGAGAGGAAACAGAACATATTGCTACTATCTGAGAATCATTTTAAGTTGTTTTGATTTTTTTGGAGATGGGAGACTTACTATATTGCTCATGTTAGGTTTTTCTTCCTTCCATCCTTTCTTTCTTTCTTTCTTTTCTTTCTTTTTCAGACTGGGTCTCTCTAGCCCTGGCTATCTTGGAATTCTCTATGTAAACCAGGCTGGCCTCAAATTCACAAAGTTCTCCCTACCTCTGCCTCCTGAACGATGAGATTAAAGGTATGCACCACTACACCTGGCTCAGGCTAGGCTCGAACTCACAGGGTCAAGTGATCCTTCTGCCTCAGCCTCTAAGCCCCTGGGACTGCAGATACGAGCACCATTTTGAAGCTGTTTAAAAATAACTGTGGGAGCTGGAGAGATGGCTCAGTGGTTAAGAGCACTGGCTGCTCTTCCAGAGGAGCTGGGTTCAATTCCCAGCACCCACATGGCAGCTCACAACTGTCTGTAACTTTCAGTTCCAGGGGATCTGACACCCTCACACCAATGCACATAAAATAAAATAAAATATTTTAAAAATCTGTGTACTGTTTTGTTTGTATATGGTTTGGGTGGGGCTCCACAGCTTGGAGAAAACCTTCTTTTTTAATTATCCTTCATTTTGTCATCAGCTGTGCCCACAGTGAGTGACACCCTCACCTTCTGAAGCAGCACTGATGTCACAGCCCTCTCTAGAGCAGCCCTGTTGGCTTATTCTCTTACCAGATCTCTTAGGCCTTATTTTTAGACTGTGATACAAAATGCTACTTATGACCCCCGCTGAAAGTGCTTGTAGCCTATTAGAAAATTCTGAAGTCACACATAATTTGTCCCTAGCAACCTTCTTTTCAGAGCAGCTAGACTCCATCAGTAGGCACAGCTGAAAGTTCCATGTGATAAATGTCTTCTTTGACCCAGGCCTCCCTTTGCCATTCTGCAAACATAGAGCCCATTCTTGGTAGCTTGTCTTCCTATCTAGAATGTTCTCCATGGACCTCAGTCTAACTCATTCTAACGAACAGAGACCTCTCTTCTGATGTCCTTGACTTCTTCCAGTCAGATCTTCCTATTGTCATTAATTATAGCCAGCTGTGAGTTTCATGCCTGCAATCTCTGCATTCTGGAGGCTGAAGCAGAAGGATCACCAAGAGTGTGGGGTAGCCTCGGCTACACAAAAAAACACCTTACCTCATAAAGCAGAAAGGAAGGAGGAAAACATTCAATCATAAACTGCCTCTCGGGATACCTTAATTTTGCAAATGGATTTGTCTTCAACATGGATAAGCCTGCGGCTGCTCTGGCTCTGTTCCGAGCAGGCTTCCCAGATGTGTTAAATGAGTGTGGCTCAAATCTTTTTGGACAGATCGAGGGACTTAGTATCTGGAACCTGTGCAAAAGCCAATCCAGCAACATCTGAATAGCACATTTGGAAGTGACTGGGTATGGAATAAACTATATTTGTAAATCCCTAGGGGTATGCAGAGATAAACTCCAGGCATTATTGTATCAGCCCCTTTATGACTTTGCAGTGAAGGGATAAATGCAAACAGGGACCCTCAAACTGGATACTAATTACTGCAAATCCTCCCTGGTACAGCCAGGCTTACATGGTAAACTTTTTATTTGCCTGACAATGCCAGGTCCTGGTTCTGCACATCAGAAAGGGAGAGTTTGCCACTCAGATTAGAGCAAGGCCAGTTGGTATGGGCAGAGCGCTGACTGTGATGTGGCATCCTGCGGAAGGTCTTAATTGATTGGCAAGGTTGTGCTGAGCCAACCCCATCCTAGAGCCAGCAAAGAGGGACAAGAAAACTTGTGGTCATGTCAAAGCCTTAGGAACTAACAAGAGCTGGCCCAGGAGCAGCTACAGGGAAGGGAGTGTGTGCACAGAGAAGTCATGAAGGAGACAGAATGGGACCTTTTCAGAATGGCGACCTCATTCCTTGAGCCTCTAAACATCACTTTACAAGCAGCCAGTTGGCAGACAATGACTCTGGTGCATTTTGTCTAACCTACAGAAAGAAATTAGCTGTTAATACTTAAAAAGGAAGAGATGTCACATACAGGTCTAGATTTCTGGCTTCTTCAAGCAGCTAAGCACTTGGCCATGCTAGGCCCTCCCACCACAGGGAGATGAACCTCTGTGTGGAACATCTGCTCTCCATGAGGTCACCCATTCTTTTGGTTCTGCTTACTCCCTGCTTGTTTTCCTTGATCTAAAATGTTGCATATTTCAACTCCAGGAGCAAGAAGGGAAGATCAAATAGCTCCCTAAGGCCCTGGCCCCTTCAGATTCTGGTGTCTCTTGATGTGGCACCAGCTGGGTGGCCCTCAGCTCTTAGGATCTATAATGGCATCAAGGCAAGATATTGTTTATCTAAACACCAACTGGAGAACTGCCTGTCACTGAATCCTCTAGGCTGAGGTTGATGGGGGCTTACTATGGACTTTCTCGAGGACTCTGTAAATCTTGGAACAGCCCTCTACCTCATTTCTAGGATGGAGACATTGAGGTTTATTGTCACAGCGACAGACTTCTGAGCAATGCTCTTTTTACAAAGCAACCACTTATCTATCTGGTGATTTGCTGATGGCTATAGCAGGGCTCCTCAGACTGTCTGTAGCTCAACACACATGCCATTGTGGATTCAATACTAGCCTTTATTTCTGTATTTTAATGATAAATTGTGGATGTGTATATCACTTGTGTGGAGGTCAGAGGACTTGTGGTAGTTACTTCTCTTCTTCCAACATGTGAGTCCCAGAGATTGAACTCGTTTGGCCCAAAGTATCTTCACTTACTAGGCCATCTCAACAGCCGTAAAGAGCACACACACTCTTGCCGGGTGGTGGCAGCAGTGTACGCCTTTAATCCCAGCACTCTGGAGTCAGAGACAAGCGGATCTCCTTGAGATAGAGACCAGCCTGATCTATAAATCGAGTTCCAGGACAGGCACACAGAGAAACCTTGTCTCAAAAAAACCAACCCCTGCCCCGAAGAAGAAGAGGAGGAGAGGAAGAGGAAGAGGAGGAAGAAGAAGAAGAAGAAGAAGAAGAAGAAGAAGAAGAAGAAGAAGAAGAAGAAGAAGAAGAAGTTGTTGAAGTTGTTCAAGGACCTATCCTGCCTGGACTAGAGACCTGTCTAAAAATAAGACAACAAAGCAACTCACTTTGAAGCCTTTTAACCCATGCAGTGATCTCCCCTGAAGCAGGAGGACACACATTGATTTTGTCTGTCAGGATAGGAGAGGGTGGATGCAAGTATGCCAGGTGACTGTGGCCAAATGACTGAGGGACTGTGTACAAGTCTACGAGGGCAGCTTATAAACTGCAGCTCACATGCCTACAGAATTTCCTTGGCTGGTGAAGTTATCTCTGGTGCTTGGAGGACACATAAAAAATTTCTTTTTTTTTGAGACAGGGTTTCTCTGTATAGTTCTGGCTGTTCTGGAACTGGCTCTGTAGACCAGGCTGGCCTAGAACTCACAGAGGTCCACCTGCTTCCGACTCATGAGTGCTGGGATTAAAGGCATGCACTACCACCATCCCACCCTATGAATTCATTTTTAAATTCATTTTAAAACTAGTCTTTAATTATCATTTCTCTTCAAGTTTTTCCGAGATGTAAAAGCTCAAGGTCCCTAGCTGGTTCTAACCCTCTGCTAACAGCATGCTCCTCTCTTAGGCCCTTCTCCACCTCACCTCACCAGCTTTCAGGGACCTGGAGACTACCAGCAAGGATGTCAGATGGAAACTTAAGAGGTCGGGATATAGGAAATAAAGGGGTAAAATGGGGAGAAAGAACTGTTTGGGCTTTCGGACCCCGGAATCTCTAGGTTCCTGCTAGACCAATCTGCAGCTTTTGCAAACAGCCTTAATGTCATCAGCGCCCCGCTGCGGAATTCAAAGCTCAGCTTGTCACGACTGTTAACACCTTTTTTGACCAGTCTTTCTAATTGACATTTTTTTCTCTTCTGTTCCTCTCTCTTGCCACCGGGAAGGTTCCAGGAGAACATTGGTTTTTTGGAGGTCCCCTCACATAGCGAACCGCCCTTTGGAATGCAGAAATTGGGGAAAGATACTCTGGAGTAGCCGGTTTACAGGGTGAGTATCTTTTCAGACTTCGGAAGCGGAGGACGTGGGGGCGGGGATGGACAGGAAAGATTTTGGAGGTCCCTACGGGTCATCTGGAAAGTTAACGACGCTTCAGGTTCTAGGCTGGGGACAATGGCCGCCTTCCTAAGGCTACTGGCCCGGAGATCGGCGCGGAGCAGGGGAACCTTGGGCTGCACTGGGAGTCCCCAGTTTCCCAGAGGGTGCAGAGGCTGCGACTCTCGAGCCGGAGGGGCTGCGTTCACGAGGGACCCTGGGTATGGAGAGCAGCAATCGGGAACCAGGCGCGCTCGCGGGCTCCGGGAGCCCTCCCACTCTTGCCAACTTTCCCGGCACCGGGGCCGGAGGAGGGCGCCTTTCCCCGCCGGTCGCGCGCAATAAAGGCGGCTCGGCTGGGCCGGCGATCATCAGTCGGAGCGCGCGGCAGCACCGTGGAGGCAGCGCGCCGCGGCGGGAACCGGAGGAGGGGCATGGAGCCGCCGCGGGCCTGCTGAGCACCAGAGCGCGGGCAGCCGGCGGCACGGTGAGCAGCGCATCCAAGGGGCGGGCCGTACGGGACTGCTCCTCAGGCGCCCATTGACCGGCCCTGGGGACCCTAGGAGTCCGGGTGGTCAGGGCTGCGGCCGCTCTAGGCTTCCTGGCGGCGGTCCTAGCAGCCGGTTCCCTACTGATCTCGCCTTCCTTTCTTCCACCATCCTGTGCTTCTGCAGCCTCTCGGCCTTCCTCCCTGTCTTGCGGCTCGTGTTTTGTGAATGAATTAGGAGGCGGGGGGGGGGGACTATGGTGCGGGGCGCGAGGCTAGAGTGCCCCTCCCCCCACTCACACCCTCAGGGGCTTCGCACCTGAGGGGACACCAAGAATTCCAGCGATCTGGTCACCACAGCAGGTATCTGTGAGATGAGCTCCCACTCCTTGCCGGCTGAGGGACCGAGGGCGCCTAGGCACGAGCGAAGGAGCCGCAGCCGCCAGTGCAAGTTTCCGTACCGCCGCGCGTGGGCCCGGCTGCAGGGCGCACCTGTCAGCGAAAGAGGCGCTGCGAACCTTTTAGCCCCTTAAAGTTTCCTGGCTGGGTTGGGAGGTGTGTGTCCTTGTCTGGAGGGTTTTATTTCTTTCCTTTCGTTGTCATACGGGACATTGATTTCCTAAAGCGCTCCAGCCTCGTGCCCTTGAACACAAGCGCGCTAGCCTGGGTCGAGCTTTCCTGAATCTCTTCTGAGGGGTAGCGGCCCAGGATATAAGATCACACTCTTGTCTACCAGCTTGAGGAAATATAGCCCCCTGTCTAGGCAGGGGATCCCAACCAGAGTCCGCACCAGAGCCTGACTGTATATAAGATATCTACAGAACCTTCTTGGGTCTTCTCTGGGGAGGTGGGTACAAAGCTACTGCCTCTTAATTCCCGAGAGGGAGGGGTCCGGCCCGCGGATGGAAAGGACTGGCAACAGCAGGGATGCCGCCTTTGTTTGCAGGCACTCTTTCGCCAAGGTACCTGGGGCCCTGGGAAGATGAGTAGGGTCTGGTTTGGCTGTTATTTCTTGGATTTTCCGTTCCTTCCCGGGTGGGTCGTGGGAAACCGGCACGTGGGTGTGGCCGTGTGGTTTTAGCCAGCCGGGTGAAGCTCAGGCTGGGTGAGGAGCGTGGCGAGAGCTTCGGTAGCTGCCTTGGACCTGACCGGACAGCCTCTGGAACTGCACCGAGGCGGGGCGCCAGGGCGCAGGTTGCTGTGCTGGCTGGGGCATCTCCTGTCCCCAGAAGAGGCTGAGAGACCCGCAGCACCCTCCATGCATCAGCTAGAGGGGGATCGGGCAGGGGATATAGGCCTGGAGCGTCCTGGGCTGGGTGTGTGCTGGGAAGGCTGGGAGTCCTACAGAGGAATCATGCGGTGGTTCCCTGGGCTAGTGGGGCCGAGAGCCCAGAAGCTAGGCTTCCCAGAGAAGCCTGCCAAGAGCTTTTTCAAATCTACACTGTTGGAAGGATGCTTTTGCGGGTTTAAGCAGTGACTGTCTGTTCCTCACTCATCCTATGTAAGGGGTGTCCTTGGCAGCAAAGTCTGTTCCTGTTGGGATGGGGCCCAGTTTCAGGGAGATCAGAGTTGAAGCCGGCTTGGAAGTGAGAGGTCATTGTCTGAGACATGGGTGGAAACGGGTTCTTCAGATGGGACAGGTAGCAGAGACAAGAGGGGAGGGCAGCCTTCCCCTTCCCCTCTGCATCACACTCTCCCACCTGGGAAGCTCTCGAGGGTTAATGTGCATCCATTTTCTGGGGAATTTCCTAGATCTGAGAAGCAAGCAATCATTAGCACCACTCCTAGGGACCCGGACACTAAGTCTCGTTGGGCAAGGTCGGGTAGCCAGGAGGCAGTGGAGCTTGTCCAACCCTGGTCTCTGATGCCAAGTCCTGGGCTCTTTTCATTATTGCACAGCTGTTCACAACAGGGCAGGTGCTAGGAACCCCAACTTAGTTACAAACGGAAACCTGCATTGTTTGCCCGAGTGGCTGAGCAGGGGACATGCAGGGCACTAGGACCAAGTGGGTGGGGCTCCCCAGCAGCCATCTCTGCAGTGCCTGCAGCAGTCCCCTCTGGCTCTCGGTGTTGGACTCAAAGGAGGGCTGTCCATACCTCAACTCTGCCCTCCCTCCTCCCCATCAGCCCCCTCCCCCTCCTTTTCTCCTATCTCTCAAGTAAGAAAAAAGTGAACGCAAACACCAGTTTCTTATGAAGCTAGTGGTGGAAAAGGGAAGCGATTTCTCTGTTTAACACACACACACACACACACACACACACACACACCTTTATTGTCCCTGCCCCTGCATTCTCCATGGGCCTTTTGCTACTACAGAGGAACCATTCCCTCCCAGACTGCACTCACCCATTAGAGGTGATGGCTTGGGCCATAGGCTGACACCTGGAGCTCTTCTCCCACACTGCCTGTAGAGGTATCTCCTTGGTGCCCAATATCCTTGCTAAAGCTTACCTATTAGGAGTTTGGGCCAGGCAGGTCACACTCTACCATATTCCAGAGGACTAGCCTTCGGTTTATCTATGATCAATGATACTCTACTTCCCTTATACATTCCCTTATATACTTCCCTTATATACTACTTCCCTATATATTACTGGAACATGCTGTGAGGTTAGTAGTATAACACATTTTACAAGTCACATAGCTAAAGAGGGTTAGGCAGAAACGGCAGAACTGGGACTTGAACCCCAGCAGTCTAGCTTCTGAGTTTCCGTGTGGTCTTGGTGAAGTTCGTAAATCATATGGTTTTTATTAGTAGGTCATTTCTCATTCTGGGCCTATCTCTGAGGATGCTCTAGCTCCTCTGACTGGGAATGCTGCCCCTCCTTACCCACTCACTATCTCTTCTGTTTCCAGATGCCGGTGCAGCTGACTACAGCCCTGCGTGTGGTGGGCACCAGTCTGTTTGCCCTGGTGGTACTAGGGGGCATCCTGGCAGCCTATGTGACAGGCTACCAGTTTATACACACAGAAAAGCACTACCTATCCTTTGGCCTCTACGGTGCCATCCTTGGTCTACATCTGCTCATCCAGAGCCTGTTTGCCTTCCTGGAGCACCGGCGCATGCGCAGGGCAGGGCGCCCGCTGAAGCTGCACTGCTCTCAGAGGCAGAGGTCAGTGGCACTCTGCATTGCTGCCTACCAAGAGGACCCTGAGTACTTGCGGAAGTGTCTGCGTTCAGCTCAGCGCATCGCCTTTCCAAACCTCAAGGTGGTCATGGTAGTGGATGGCAATCGCCAGGAAGATGCCTACATGCTAGACATCTTCCATGAGGTGCTAGGAGGCACTGAGCAAGCTGGCTTCTTTGTGTGGCGTAGCAATTTCCATGAGGCGGGCGAAGGAGAGACAGAGGCCAGCCTACAAGAAGGCATGGAGCGTGTACGAGCTGTAGTGTGGGCCAGCACCTTCTCATGTATCATGCAGAAATGGGGAGGCAAGCGTGAGGTTATGTACACAGCGTTCAAGGCCCTTGGCAACTCAGTGGACTACATCCAGGTAAGACTTCCTCCCTAGGAGTGTGTGCAGATGGGCACATGTGGCCAGCAGGGCATACTCTCCTCTAGCAACTTTAAATGTGGTGTATGTCTTGGTGTTGTAGCCATCCCTCCTCGCCCATAAACAAGGTTCTGAAGAAACCCTGGGGTTGACCAAGCTTGAGCTGTGGTTTTGTTGGTAACTGAGCAGTTCCCCATAACAGCAGCAAAAGGATGACTTCACACCAGGTACTTTTGGGGGTGCTTCAAATATATGCATTCTCTTAACCCTTATAATAGCTCTGCAGGTAAGTACTGCTCTGAGTTCCCAGAAAGGTGAAACAAAAGTCTTGAGAATAACTTAACTAATGTCAAACAGCAGACCAAAATATCAGCCAGAGGCAGCCTATCCATGGCTTGCTTTTAGCCCTTGTGTCTCACTACTGGCAACTAAACACCATAAAGAAGTTTCAAGAGAAGACTAGATAAATAGTTCACCAGTTAAGAGCACTGGCTGTTCTAGTGGACCCACCTTCTGTTCCCATATAAGTAACCACCTCTGGAACTTCAGATCCAGAGTATCTGACACCCCCTTATGGCCTTTGTAGGCAATGCATGCATGTGTTGCAGATTTACATGTAGACAAATTGTTTTCCTTTTTTTTTTTTTTTTTTTTTTTTTCTTTTGAGACAGGACTTCTCTTTGTAGCCCTGGCTGTCCTGGGACTTACCCTGTAGACAAGGCTGGCTTTGAACTCATAGAGTTCTATTAGATTGGTAAGATTTATATAGCTTAAAAGTTCAAATACAAACTAGAGAGAACAAAAAGGATTAAAAGTGTACATTTTAGTGGCTGGAGAGATGGCTCAGTGGTTCAGAGCACTAGCTGCTCTTCCAGAGGACCTGAGTTCAATTCCCAGCACCCACATGGCAGCTCATAACTGTCTATAACTCCATTTCCAGGGGATCTGATACCTTTCCATCAACACAAAGTTAAATAAATTATTTTTTTTTAAAAAAGTATACATTTTAGTACCAACTAGAAAGAGACAACTCAGTTCTAGTCCAGAATTCCCCAGGGCCTCTTGTGACTTTTCCACTTGCCAATTGTTTATAAACACTTGAAAGAATAGTGGCTGTTTGGTAGCCCACTGTGTACTGATTCTGTCTTATCAGCATCATGTTCAGTCCTTGAATGTTATTAATACAAAGTTAGCTTATACATTTTCTACTGTGTGTGTTTCTCCCCAAGACAGGGTTTCACTGGATGCCTGGCTGTCCTGGAACTTGCTTTGCAGACCAGGCTGGACTCAAACTCAGGGATCTGCCTGCCTCTGCCCAAGTGCTGTGACTAAAGGGGTGGACTACCGCTGCCTGCATATTATGTCTGTGCATCATGTGTGACTGGTGCCCATGGAAGCCAGAAGAGGGAATTTGATTCCCAAGACTGGAGCTTTAGGCAGCTATAGTAGTGGGACTCAACCTGGGTCCTCTGGAAGAGCAGCCAGTGCTCTTAACTGCTGAGCCAACTTTCTAGACCCAATCTCCCCACCCCATTTTTAAAGTTATTCTTGTATAAGAGTTGATCTGTTTGTCTTTTCTTGACCCCATGGACCCAAGCATGATAAGGAGGGATATGCCTAGAAGGCTGTTTGATTCTACAGTTTACCTGGGGACTTGGGGTCTTTGTGAAACTTCTCTTAGAACCCAGAAGCACAGGAAAAAACTCTTGGTCTTGGCAACTGCTCAGGCAACAGTAACTTTATCTTTTATTCCCTGAAGCACAGGAGCCACCCAAACCTGCTTCGCCTTCCTTGATCATCTGTGTGTTCTGGTGGACCTTCACACAGACTTGCATTAAAGCCATGCTCTACTCTTCATGGTTCTGAGCTACTACCTAAGGCAGCCCTGGGTTCTAGCCAGCCTTCCAACAGCTAAACATGTATCTGCCCCTTTGTGGGGAAAAAAATAGCCTTTGTGGGGACACCCAAGCAGACATTACCCTTTCTTCCCTGACTGCATAGCTATGACCTTCCTGGAGTGGATGAAGCGAAGTAGCATGGAGAATGGGTTAGAAAGAGTAACTGAGTCAAGACCAGCAGCATTGAGCAATTGGCCTTTAAATTGAGGAGGCACTAGGAGTCTGAATGGAGGCTCCCTGGGACCTTCCCCAGCTCTAGCAGGGTGGAAGGAAGCCTGGTGGGGAGGAGAGAGAAAACAGAGCTGGTGCTGGTGGCTACACCCCCAACCCCACCTTAGCATTCTGCTGCTTGTTTGTGCCACCCTGTCTTCTACCGTGAAGAGGTTCTGGGAATTTAATTGAGGGCCTTATGCCAGCAACTTTAGTAAAGGTTTTGATGGAACAGGATTTGAGTCCATCTGCTCTGAGAACACTGACCATAAAGCCCAATCAGAGGGTTAATAAACCCAACTTTCCTGCCCAATGGAGTGCCAGGATCATTTCAGCAGCTTCAAAAAAGCAGGCAGAAGGGCTAGAGAGATGGTTCAGGGGTTAAGAGTACTGTCTGCTCTTCCAAAGGTCCTGAGTTCAATTCCCAGCAACCACATGGTGGTTCACAAACATCTGTAATGAGATCCAGTGCCCTCTTCTGACATGCAGGCATACCTGAATATAAATCACTGTATATTTGGTAAATATTTAAAAAAAAAAGACAGAAAATGCTGGTTATGGTGGCTTACAACTTAGTCCCAGCACTTGGGAGGTAGATATCTGAGTTCAAGGCCTTCCTGGTCTACATAGTGCTCCAGCACAGTATGGTATTCATGAAGAGACTCTGCCTCAAAAGGAAGGAAAGAAGGCACCAAGGCAGTGTTCATAGAGCTCAGGTACAGCTAACAGTGGTGTGTTAGACCACTTGGTTAGGAGCTGCATTTGTGGGCAGGATTTGATTGTTGGCAACTGCTGCCAGCTTCTGGCCTTATTCAGAACAAGTCAAACAAGAGGTGCTGTTGGCTACATATACCTGTCATAGAGACTTGGCCAAGATTCCAAGCACAGATTACTTAGGCAGCAGCTTTGTCTCATGAAGGGGCTTTTGAGCAGGTAGACTCTTTCTTATCACAGGACTGACTGTAGGTTCACCAGGAGCCAGGGTTGAAATGAAATCACCTCAGCAGCAGCACCTCATGGTGCCTGAACGGTCAGCTGCCTATTTCCCTACTTCCCTTTGTCTTCCCCCTCTCTTTCTACCTACCATAGAGAAGTTTGCTGGAAGTGAATGTGAGAGGGGGTCAGGCCCCTCAGGCAGGAGCAGCTTCCTCAAGTGGGAGGGGACTTGTTTTGTCCTGTGGTGCTGACAGTGCACTTACCTCCCTGCAGGTGTGTGACTCTGATACTGTGCTGGACCCAGCCTGTACCATGGAGATGCTTCGAGTCTTGGAAGAAGATCCTCAAGTAGGGGGTGTTGGAGGAGATGTCCAAGTAAGAAATAATCAGGAGCTCCTGGGGGTTGGGTCTGGCCTTCTTTGTTCCAAACCTAGTATAGTATCCCTGGGAAACAATCTCTGGACTTACTAGTATCTGGGGAGCAGTTTCTCTGAGAGCTTGCACTGGTCTTCAATGGCTCACTTCACTGACAGCTCAACTCATTTCCTGCTCTTCTTAAACATGGGTAAAGGGAGAGGAGTGTTAGAAAATTTGAAGGAGGCTGGAGAGATGGCTTAGCTCTTCCAAATTGCTCTTGCAAATGAGTCAGGTTCCATCACCAGCATCTGCACAATGGCTCATAATAGGTCATAACTGCAGTTATGGCCTCCACAGGCATCCATGCCAGTGGTGTAGACATACATGTAGGCAACACCACACGAGTAATTTTTTTGAAAGGCCATGGATTTGAAAGGACCTAGGATTTGGATACTGCAGGTCTCAGAAACGACTTCCTTTTGGACAGATAGTGTAACAGGTAATTCCCAAGATAGTTCCTTAAAAAGCCAGTGCTTTAGGGAACTCAGCCTAAAGAGCTGTACGCAAGCTGTATGCAGTATGCTAAGCACACAGAGCCGGTCTTTTGCCGAAGGACACTGTAGACAATGTTATGTCCTCCTCAAGGCTTTCCAACCACCAAAGGAGTAAGACTGCTGCTTCTTTCTCAAGCCCTCTTCTCCGCTGCCACCAGTGCCTCTCCTGAGATAAGGCACAGACTCCCGGAGCACCTTAACTGGGAGTCAGTGCAAGTGCTGGTGTAAAGGAGCCGGAGAGTGAGCTTTTATATGCCCACTCTTGACTGAATTTCAGAGTCCCTACTTCTAGTAAGTCCAGAACTAATGCCCAGGAATTTGAGCAGCAGGCCATAGAAATCAGGGTAGAAAGGCCTCAGATGAACACAGCATCTCTGTTCCCTTACAGATCCTCAACAAATATGATTCATGGATCTCCTTCCTGAGCAGTGTGAGGTACTGGATGGCCTTCAATGTGGAGCGGGCCTGCCAGTCCTACTTTGGCTGTGTGCAATGTATCAGTGGGCCTTTGGGCATGTACCGAAACAGTCTCCTTCAGCAGTTCCTGGAGGACTGGTACCACCAGAAGTTCCTAGGCAGCAAGTGCAGCTTTGGTGATGATCGGCACCTTACCAACAGAGTCCTGAGTCTTGGTTACCGGACTAAGTATACAGCACGCTCTAAGTGCCTCACAGAGACCCCCACTAAGTACCTGCGATGGCTTAACCAGCAAACCCGCTGGAGCAAGTCTTACTTCCGGGAATGGCTCTATAATTCTCTGTGGTTCCATAAGCACCACCTCTGGATGACCTATGAATCAGTGGTCACTGGCTTCTTCCCCTTCTTCCTCATTGCCACAGTCATACAACTTTTCTACCGTGGTCGCATCTGGAACATTCTCCTCTTCCTGCTGACAGTGCAGCTGGTTGGCATTATCAAGGCTACTTACGCCTGCTTCCTTCGAGGCAATGCAGAGATGATCTTCATGTCTCTCTACTCCCTTCTCTATATGTCCAGCCTCCTGCCAGCCAAGATCTTTGCTATTGCTACCATCAACAAGTCTGGCTGGGGCACTTCTGGCCGAAAAACCATTGTAGTGAACTTCATTGGCCTAATTCCTGTGTCCATCTGGGTGGCAGTTCTTCTAGGGGGCCTAGCCTACACAGCTTATTGCCAGGACCTGTTCAGTGAGACTGAGCTAGCCTTCCTAGTCTCTGGCGCCATCCTGTATGGCTGCTACTGGGTGGCCCTCCTAATGCTCTATCTGGCCATTATTGCCCGGAGGTGTGGGAAAAAGCCAGAGCAATGCAGTCTGGCTTTTGCTGAGGTGTGAAACCCCTGAGTAATGTGGGAAAAGTGCAATGGGTAAGGGAGGGGAATGGAAAGTTAGGGTGGGAGGGAGAAGGGAGTATTGTGTATTAGTTTTGTGGCTGGAAGGACAAATCTGAAATGCAAAGGATTGTGACTGTGGTGAGGCCTGGGTAGCTCTGCTCTGGAAGCTAGGTCCTGAGTTTTCAGGCACAGGGCAGATGAACTTGTCTGTTTTTAGGCTACTTGTCTGTTTGCCCTTGCAAAGGCAGTGATCTGAAAAAAAGATTTTATTTCTTTCTAGAAAGTGTGCTAAACTAAGTGCTAAGTGGCAACTTTAGGTAAAGGAGCAAGCAATGACAGCCTTTAGGAAAAGTGTCCTCCAAGCCCATTGGAACATGATGAAGTCTAAGAGAAATTCCCATGAAGTCTGGCCAGCTAGTATACCCTTTCCCCAACCTCTAATTAGCCATCAGTGCATTAAGATTGTGCCTGAGATAACAAGACTGGGAAGCCTGATCTTTGGTCAGAAAACAGGGTCTAAGAAATGGTGCTTTATGTAATATACTCCACTGCACATCAAAAACATCCCAGGGATGAGACAAGTCACCAGGACTAAGTTCTAAGTTTGGTGGTTTTTTTTTTTTTTTTTTCTTTCTTTTTTTCTTTTTTTTTTTTTTTTTTTTGTGTGTGTGTGTGTGTGTATTATAAAGGGAAGTTGGTCAAGTGTCCTGGGTATGTATAACCCCAGCACTTAGAAGGTAGGTGTAAGAGATCAGAGGTTCAATGCTAGGCTGGGCAACATGAAATATTGTTCAAAAATAGTTTGACAGGAAGGACAAAGAGATTGTCATGGTGCTAAAAAAACCATGGAGGCTTTGCACTGAATGAATGTATTCCAAGTGGAAACTGCTCAGACTTTTATAAGGTTTTCAAAATTGTCAAGAGACCTTGCTGGGCAGATCAGATTTACCAGGAAGTTCAAACCCCAATGTTTTCAGAGAAGTCTTAGTTATTTTGGCTCATTCATACCTGAATTCCTCTCAAATTCATCTATGATCTGATGCTAGACATCCTACTCAATATTTCATTTTCTTCAAAGGCACACTGTTGTTGTTTCCTAGTGGGATTGAGCAGCAGTCAACTATTCATTTTTGTTGGTAAGTTTCTTCCTGTGGCAGAGTGTGAACTCTTATAAGACCTACAATGATTGTAAGGCTGTTCCCTACGTGCATGGAAAGACTACAACTTCTGATCACAGTTTTTCATCATGGATCGGGTCAGAACCTTGGCTGCTGGTTAGCATGTGTGACTTTCAGATAAATGTTCTCGACAATCATCCCCAATGGAAAACTTCCTGGTGTTGCCCACATGAACCCTCAAATCCACGCTGATCATCTTTGAGACCATCCATTTTCCTCAGTGGCTTCTCCAAGGAACTCTATGGCCAGGTAGTGGATGTAGTGGATACGCCATTTGCTGCTTCAGTCCAGGAACCAAACTAGGAGCTGGAACTGGTCCAACAGCCTTCAGTCTTCTTATACCCCTCATAGCTGCTTGACTTCCCTGCTTCTTTTGGGGAGTGATGAGAAGTTTTTTTATATCGTTTTGAAATCAAGACCAGACTTGGCTTTTGGATCTGAAACCTGGGATCATGATTAAGCCTTTGACTTTAGGGGTTGCTTATACTTTTCCCAAACATTTGTTCTCAAGAGGGGCCAGCTAACCTCTCAGAACCAACACTAAGGCGGAGAGCAGTGTACATAGGTGCTTCCTACAAAGGAATGAAGTGCACTTCGAACCACAGATGGACAAACCCTGGGATTTCCCTTCCTCTCATGAACACAAGGTTTTCCAGGTATAGCTAACAGTTGCCATAGCACACAGACCTCAAGTTTCCAATAAAATTGCTAGCTGATGTCAAGCCCAACCAATGGCTGCTGGGAAGCAGCAGCCATTTGTTAAAGGTGGTTATTCTGGGCCCTTCTGCTAAGTGAACTATTTTGTGCACTACAATGGAGGCAATCCAGTCAGTCAACCACAGGGCTGACTTTACTAAGGGTGTGTTTCTCTTCAGCTTTTACTTGAAGGTTAGTACAGGACAATGGACTCTAGATGAAAACTGGTTGTCCTACGATCAGCTCCTCTGCCTTGCACTGTGGCCAACTTTCCTCAGATTAAAAATGCAGGTACAGTAGTGAGCTTACAACATTTGACCTCGACTGGATTTTCTAATTTATTTTATAAGTTTTTCAGCAGCAAAACTAAACTGGGTCTACAGCTGTATCCTGTTTCTTACAAAGGGAAGAGCCTTTATACAATGAGACTCATTTTGGTTTTTCCTCATTGACAATTTCAGCCTCTTTTGTATTATTTCTACAATTTATAAACATATTTATTTTTACCTGCTTTTTTAAAAAATAAGGAGGGAACTTTATTTAACATTAAGGGTGGGGGGAAATCAGAATGGAGGTGGCTTTACTTGGTGATGTTCATATCATGTTCTTGGCGCAGCCACTGAGCACAATGCATGGGCCCTTTGCCTCTCAAGCAAAGTCACATGCAGAGTGTGCAGCTGGAGCTCCTCTTCTTCACTGCTCTATCTTCATCTTGCCCAAGCCCTTCATATCAAAACAGTGGCAGTCCTTTTGCTGTCTGTATTTAATGGTGTTCTCAATGCTGTACATGGCTGGGGGGGGGGGGGTTGTGTGGAGGAGGCACAACATGCTGGGGCCATACTCCATACTGTAGTATCCAGCAATGGAGCTGTGACCAGCCCTCTTTTCACAAGAAGCTCCTTGTCCAGGGATGGTGGTAGAGTTCTCAGTCACTTACATGGGTTAGCCATGCTCCAGCTCAGGTTTCCCTGACTCAGACTAAGGATATGATCCTTAATTAACTCAAATCCAGGAGCTTCTCCTGTTCCTCCAGGTTGCCAGACAATCACAGGTGGGAATTCCTCAGAATGACCCTTCTCCTGGTTCACAAGTTCTACCATCTTTCTCAATGTTGTAGTACAGCTGTTGCAGTCATTGCAGGGAGCACAACCAATGCCTTCATCCACCCCACCCCCAGCTGCTTCTGCAACTTCAACTGCCTTTTCCTTCTGCTCCTCTGATGGTGGAGCTCCACCTCTGCCATCCTCCATGTTCTCTACTCCAGCATCATCTAGTGAGGATGCAGGCTGAAGATACTGGCTCCTCTTTCTCTAGAACCACCTCTCCACTCTGGGTGGTTGGTGCTGACCTTTGCCCAGCAGTATGGAACCTAAGTCCCCCTTTTGAGTCTAATGCTCAAGAGGCTATATGTCATCTTCCAGCACTTCCACTTCAAGGCCTTTTCCCATTCTGCTTACAGATCACCATCTCCTTGAGTGTGAAATACTTAGAAATGAGCTGAGGCCTTGCTGAACTTGGAGTTGCAGGCTAACCCAGTTCTATGCCAATTCTCATTCATGAGATCATTGGTGGTATCACTCTAGTTCATATAAAAGGTGTCTAGCCAGTTCCTCTCTGATTCCCCACTTATTTATCTACCAAAGAGTAAAGATTTTGCTGTGTCAAGACCACCTGCATAGTAGGGCTAGGTGCAAAGCAGGTGCTAGGGCTACTTCCATAGTTTCACATGCTTCTTGGCCAACTTTGTATCCACCAGGTTCACACTCACCAGTACATCCTCCTCCTCTTACAGCATTCCTTTTGTCTTTAAAGGTAAAGATCAGTCTGTCCTTGGAATTAATGGCACGCTGCTCAGTGAGGTCCTGCAAGTGTAAAGCACTGCGGCAGTTCTCCCCAAACTCCTCCATCAGCACTGATGGCATCTCTTGATCTATCTCCCCCACCAGCTTAGTCCTCTTCTCTGCCAAGCCTTCTGTAACTCCTTACCATCCAAGGCAGAGATCATCCTCCTCAACTTATGGCTCAGGAGTGCCTTTCTTTTAGCTCTTCTCTAAAGGCCATGGGATTGAGACATTGGCTGCTGTAAGCTCCTTTCTTAACATTGACTGTCAAGAGTTTTAACCTCAACTTGGCTGGACCTGGCTGTTACAGTGATGATTATCAGCATCCTGAGCTGGATGGGCCTCAGGGGTCATCATACTTTCTAGCTTCTCCACTGCTCAGAGTACTGTGCAGCACCATTAGGGACCTGAGTTTCTTAACTCCCCACCCCCCACCCCAATACAACTCCATCTCTGTTGTTCACTGCAAGTGCCATTCTGGTGCTGTTTCTTGTACTCCTAATGTTGTTGTGGCAGCTTGATGGTGCCCCGTGCCAGCCACAACTGGCCCTAGCCACCTTTCTCTCAGAGGAGCTTGACTCCACAGTTAGTGTTAAATTGACCTTAATGGGCTACCACCAAGCCCTGATGACACAAAAATGCAAACAATTCTGGGTGACAAGGCAGCTGCCAACCTGTTGCTGGCAACGACGAGTGGCTGCTTCTGGCACTGACATTTTCATTGTCCTTGGAGATTAGGGTTTTTGTTGTTGTTTTCTGGTCAAGAATTTTTTATTGCACTTATAAAAATAAAAACTCGTACATAACGCTGGTGTGTCCATTGCTGTGACAAAGTACCAAAGTGAACTTAAGGAGGAAAGGTTCACTCTGGCTCACGTTTCTGGTCTCTCATGGATTGACTCCATTTCTGGGCACTGGTAAAGAGTATTATAGAAGGGAGCCTGTACTCAAGCAAAGCTACTCACCTAGAAGCTGCAGGGAAGCAAGGAGCTAGAGGAAACAAGGGACAAAACATACCCCTCGAGGCTATGTTCAGTTACTAACTTTCTCCAGCTGTGCTTTGCCTCCTAAAGTCTGCACCACTTACCAGTTAGCCTCTTAAATCATGACTCTATCAACAGAGCTGCTTTTCCACTCATGTTCAAGAATCCACCTCCTACCTCTATCAAAGAGCCTTGCTGAGGACCAAGCCTTCAACACATGAGGTTAAAGGCACAGTTCAGATCAAAAGAAACAGCTGGGATCTCTGAATTATGTCCTCTTGTGCTTAATGAACTGGCTCCTTCATTCTAGTTTTCAAGAGGCCAATGATAGAAATGTTAACAGTGGAATTCAGAAGTAGGGTAAGAGGCCAACAAGATGGCCCAGGAATAAAGGTACCCACTACCCAGCCTGATGACCTGAGTTCAGTCCTTGGGATCCATATGGTAGAAGACCCCTGCCCCACCCCCAATTGTCCTCTGACTTCCATATGTGCAGCACCAGTATGAGTGCACACGCACCTCTCAAAAATTAAAAATGCTGATTTAAAAAATTTCAAAAATAGGGTACAGTTGCCTCAATTTTGGGAATTAAGTCATAAGGCCAACCAGGTATGGAACATGCATGTGTCATATCAGTGAGTCTGGATCTCATGAAAATAATTATCAAATGAAGTCTCCCAATCAAAAAATTCCAGTTCTACTATGCAAAACAGAAACAGAAGACTGACAGTAAACCAAAGCGTGTTCCCTCAAATTCAAGCATGTTGGATGGCAGGTAATACAGGGTTGTTGTCACACCAAAACAAAGACATGCAAAGATTAAACGTGCCCTCTGTCGAAGAGAGAACAAAATGGAATGACAGCAGCAGCCCTCTCATCCCATTTATTAAAGAAACAGTAAGAAAAGATACAATGCAGGAAAAACACC